AGAGTGTGATAAAGCATTTTTTGAAAGTAGTTTTCGAAAGTGTGTAAGTGTAAAAAAGTTGTTTTTGAGCAAGTACCTAACAGTTATCTACCTACTCGAAAAAGGATGTTCTTTTCCTCCTTTACTTTAGATAGTGATATCCTACTATTAGTGAGTAGGTAGCCCTATCATCGAATGTTGAGGGATAATCGAAGGGACATTTTACAATCACGAAGGCAACTTGTGAAGACGCTTTAGAAATTTTATTTTAGGGACTAGATTATTTACCGAAAGGAAACTGTACGGTCATCGAGGGACTATGATATTTTTTTATTTATGGGTCTTTACTAAAGCGTTCATGCCGCATGACTGTTTTATTTAAAGGAAACCAAAGTGGGAGATACCTTAGAGGCGCGCATGTGCAAGTGTGTTGAGATTCAGTTATTTATCTTGCATTATTAAGTTTTTTAACGTTTTAATTTTCAATCTTATCAGGAACGCCTAGTTACTAACAATTAATATTTACAGAAATTTAAAGTGTGAAAATTTAAATCCTAGGCTATTACAACGCTTTGGGACAATTACATAAAAAAGTACAAGAAAATAAAATGCAGAATTTTAAATATAGACTATTACATCCCATAATCAATTACATTATTTATATAAAATGCGAGAATAAAAGTAACGCGCGCGAAATAAAAACTACGTCTAAAAATTCTAAGAAAAAATCTAAGTAAACAAGAAAAATCTTTTTAGTTTTATTTTTATTTATTTCAAGAAAAATAATTAAACTAAATCTAAATTTAATTTAAGAAAATAAATATTGAATGAAATTAATCTAATTCTAATATTTTTGCATTTTTTATTAAGAAAACATTTGAAACATAAATTAAATCCTAAACACTAGTTCATTTTAAAATAAGAAAGTAGTTAAAATTTAATTAATTAATTAATTAAAGCATTTCATTATTTTAATTTTTAAAAAAAAGTCTAAGTCTAATTTTTTGTGAGTTTTTTTATTATTTGTTTAATTAAGTAAAGAAGATAAAAGAAATTAAAACATTACAAAAAAAAACTAGATGGGCCTGAGATAGTAAAAAAAAGAGGGGGTGTGGTTGTTGAATTCGCTGGCCCATGAAGGGAGAGGCCCATATTTGCTTCTGGATCCAATGTGGATTGATCTTGATGGCATATGATGAGCCCGCAGATGGAGTGCGCTAGATCTGATCAGATAGACATTTGATGACACATGTTTGATAGTGTATAATGCACATCTAGCTACGAGGAGCACCAGATCTACATGAAACAAGTTAGAAAATATAAAATGGAGCTTACTGAGGCTTTTTGTGATGTTTCAGGGCTTGGTAATGATTGCGAAAGCTTCAGGGAGCCTCCAGGAATGTATTTGAATCTTTTGTTTGGACTGAGAAAGGTTGGAACCTAAAACACGAATTTTTACAACTTTGATAATTTTTGCAAAATTTGTAGAGCTTTTCCAGGCTGTATCTCATGTGTCGAAGCTTGCTAATGTGTCCTTTATATAGAGAGGATGGAGGAGACAAGAGAACAAATGTAATAACAACCATAAACATGTGTTTTTAAAGCCATGAATGATGTTTTGTAACTTTGCCAAAGACATGAAATCTTTTCCTTTTTTAATTTGAATTAATGTGGACACCTTTGCACGAAATTTTATGGGCCTAGGCTGTCCAAAACATCAACCCAAAGCTCAAAGCCCATTTCTAATTATTTTATACATTTTATTTTATACTTATTTGAAAAAAATTAAAATAAATATGAATAAAGTAGTTAGCAAAGGCAAGGCATGACAAGAATAATTTTAGAGGTCCTCTATAGGCTTAGGAATATGTTTAAAGTCCAAGAAATTAAGCTATTGACCTAAAACTTCAAGTTTGCTCAATGCATAATTCTTGAAAATTCCCAAATTTTCCCAATTTGGGAAATCCATACCTTGCTCAATTTGTATCGCATGATAATGATATTTGGCTTTTTGGAAAGCCCAAGATGTATAATTCAATCCCTCTTTTGATAAATATTGCATTTTAATATGTTATCTTAATGTTAAAGGTCTTGGCAAAAAGTGGCTTTTATTGACTTTCTAAAAATGACCTGTAATGTATGATCTTGTATCTTTCAAATGATGCATTTATTGGACTTGAGGGATGAATAGAAGTTATAGGGAATGAGATTATATTCAATATGAGCTTTGGTTGGGAAGAATGGATGAAGTATGTGAATGTTATGCCTGGTCAAAGTTCAGTTGACTTTTCCGATAGAAACCCTACTTTGCCATTTTTGACTTCTGATGGGTTAGGAGAATTTCTTGAGGAATCATGATCAACACTTGATCAAATGATGGATATCACTTCAAAATGTTGATGTTGACCAAAAATATTGATGTTTGACTGTACATAGGCCACAATTGACTTTTGACCTAGCACAGTTAATTTTCCAATACTTGGGCAATTGACTTAGCAAACTTGTTGAGCAAGGCATGAAAGTTGGCATGGATGATCTTGAGGACATATTAGGACAATGGAGAACATTTAGTATCCTTGGAGATCAACCATCTTGATGAAAATTAAAACCCTAGTTGGGGGCTCATTGCCTTAGGAGGAAAATTGTGTGGTCAAATCTTAGTCAACCTAGGGCAATTGAGAACCTTTAGGAGTATGTCTTGTTTGAAAATGGAAGGGCAAATTTTGGGGTACAACACATACGTAGAGATTCGTCTCTTCCCTAGAAAATCACTTCAAGTGAAGACTCTGATTTTGGATGCTAATGGGAGTCGGTGAAGTGCCACAAAAATCTCTTTCCCAATTATTTATAAGAAGTGATAGATTCGAGGGGCATGCTTTTGTACCAATCCATGGCACCTTTCCTCAGAGTGGTCAGGAAAAAACTGCATTTGATTGCACCCTTCGCCTCGGTAATCATGCAGGGCATCAATGTCTTCTATGTGGTCGTCTGGGTCGAACGTGTCATCGTAGGATCCCAATTTAGGCAGCTTCTCGAGCCCGACTGGGATTTGTTCCTCCATAATTTCTCTCGATAATGGGTTACGGGTATCATCGTCATCGGTCCCTTATAGCGATGATGACGGGGAGTGACAATTCCTTCCTAGCTATGTGTCCTGATCTCGTTGAGGGGAAGGGCTCCGCCCTCATCGCCTCGGTCTGGGTGATAGTGACCTGCCGAAGTCGCCTTTACAGGTGCTCTTCATATTCTTAGAAATTGAAGAGTCTTTATCCTTCTTGGGAGATGCTCGATCCCACTTCTTTCAGAAAGAAATGTCGAGCCTTTCCTTTCTTAGAGGATGCACCTTTCGTGGAGGTGATATGATGGAGGAGTTTCACCGTTGGTGTCTCCGAGGGGGATACCTTTACTGTTTCCGTTCCAGAGCCCCCATCCTTTTTCTCTGCTGGAGGATAAGGAAGTTGGTTCGGTTTAGGGTAGTAATTAGTGTTGATATGGCTAGGTCGGTGTTTTGCAGAACAGGGATCGGTTGCATAATTTTTGGTGGTCTTTGATAGGGTTCTTGGGAAACTATTCATCCAACAATAGATTGTTATCATGATCATCGATGGAATCTGGGGACACAATATGTCTGTCACGAGTGCCAAAGTTATCCTCGATGAGAGGATGTTCTTGGCTTCTGCCGGTCTTGCCTGCCGAAGAGAGTGTAATTTTTCCAGATAGGTGGTGATCACCGTGATCGGCCATGATCGATGAATGGGGAAGATCTTTGGTCTTCATAATTAGGGAATAGAAAATGGGAAAGCCAGTTCCCACAGTCGGTGCCGCTGATCTTACCATTTCATCAGAACCTGCAAAGTGGCTGAATGATGTTCTTTAGACGGGCTGGAAAGTCGAGGAGGAAAAAGAGGGGTTGTACCTGCAAGGCACTCAAGTAAATATGGTAAAAAAAGAGATACAAGCAAAGTATTAGGGTTTTAGTAATGAATAGGCATGGCAAAAAAACCCACCCTCGCTGGGCCCCGGTCACCCCCGCCCTGAAATTAGCAGGGAAAACCCAGTTTAATCAAGGGAGGGTGTGGGTGCGGGGAAAACCCGATTTTTATTTACGGGTGCGGGTGTGGGTGTAGGTGATGCTAGTATCCGTCATGCATTCGCACCCGCCCCGCACCCGCCAACTAAATTTAATTTATTTAATTTATTTTTAATTATTTTCTTACTTATTTATAATTTTTAATGTTATAATATCATGTTTATTATAATTATTATTATTTTTTAAATAAAATTTAAATAAAAATATCAAACAAAAAATGATTTTAAAATAATCAATTATTTGGTTTAATTATTGATTTTCATTTTTATTGAAAAAAATTATATATTTAAAAAAATTAAAATTTTATTCGGGCGGGTGCGGGGAAATCCGTTTTTTGTTGGGAGCGGAGGCGGAGGAACAAATATTAGCCCCGACCAGGTTTGGAGGTAGGGGCGGGTCTGGGTCTGGGTAGTGGGTGCAGGTCTGGGTGTGCTTAAACCCGCCCGACCCGCCCCGTTGCCATCCCTAGTAATGAATAGTCGATATTCGATATCTGGCCCTCACATGAGTAAGGGTTTATATAGTGCCTCATACACTTGGCCATTGGTCCTTATTTTTGGGCCTATATATGCATGCTCGCAAAAATAGATAACTGCCAAGACTTGGACAAACCGGGAAGATGTGTCTGTAACTAGCCATTAGTTCCAAGAAGTAGGTAGGTTACATGCAGCGGTCTGGTCGGTTCCTAGTTGTCTATCCGACTTGAGGTTGAAAAGACTGAGAGGCGCTCATCGATTGTCGTAGGTCAGTGTTGGTCCAGGAGAGTAAATGATCGATGGTGCTCGACGAAGGGCGGGGGAGCTTGAGCTGTGGTTGTATGGGCCGTGTCGAAGGAGGATGTTAGATTGGGCCCACTCTAGCCGTTGCGCCATTCCAGAATAAATCTTAATGTCAGTTTCAGTGTTTTAAAAAAGAAAAGTTATCTGACATAATGTTCTTGAATCACGCTGGAAGACTTGAGGTGTGACCAGCATTAGAAGCATGTGTCGAGCGTAATCGTCTGCTTCACCGTCATAAAGTGACTCCCTGATGATCATGTTGTATTTCTCTTTGTCCTTCGATCCTGGATTTCTCCAGTAGTCACGACCGCCTCTTCATTTCAGGATGTGCGAAGATTTTGTTCAGATCTTCCCGAATCTAGATCGAGTCGGGGAGTCTTTGACGAAACTTCGGGATCTACAAATAGCGGTCTCCGCATCATGGTTTCCATGAACTACCATGAGTCCTTGGCAATGAATGGTTGTCGTCAGAAAGTTGATTGCCATCTTGGAGATGGAGACTTCGTCGAATGCAATTTGGTGTCTGTAATTTGTGGTTTTCCGTTGTACATCCGCTAAGATCTACGGAAGAATACTTTTGGTTTCTTTTCCTTTTTTCCACGCTGGTGTTACCGCCGAGATTGACCTTCCGATTCTATTCTGGGCGGGTTCGATGAAGTTAATCATATTTGTATAGGTGAAAAGAATAAGAATCGGCTCAAGATTGTTACCTTTGGATTTGGGACCAATCGAAGATTGTGTACAAAGTCTATCACGCCAAACGTTCTTACTAAAAACATTAACTAAGTAGCTCTCTTGATGCTAGCCCAGAAGAACCATAATAGGTAGATTTATCTAGTGATTTTGGGGGATTTGGGTGCTATGCTGATGATGCGCAGTGACCCAAGAGAAGTATCTTGCTTATCCCTCTGTCGGGAGGCCCTATGTATGGTGTATTTTGTCTCCAAAATGAATGTCTTTATGGATTCCTAGAGGGCCCTTTATATAGTCGTTTATTGGCCTAATGACCATTAATTCGCTTTGGTAACGTTTATAAGCACTCATAAGTACTGTAATGTCCTTACTAATCATGTGTAACCGCCTGTTTAATGGTTTGTAACGTGTCCTGCATATTGGATTTATTGTGCCGAGCTTATACTCGATAAATAATGCAGAGTCGGTCCTGGGTCACACCCCGACATGCTTTTAACTGCATAGCCAACTCCAACCTCTGTTTCTCTGTGAAACAATCGATAGCCTCTTATTAAAGGTTACTTGCAGGATTGACTACAATTATCCTAGACTTAGTATTTAGAGTTTTTTTGGGTTGAAAAAAGGGTAAAGGTGAAAAATGTATAGACAATTGCAAAGTAAATAAATCAAAGACAAGGCTTGTAATTTAAAGTCAAAAGACTGTAAATTTCTATGAATTTAAATGTAGAAACATTCATACATTTTTAAGTTTGAACTCGTTTCTCTCTTAGATGCGGGTACTTTGAGTGTATTGCTATTAAATCTGAAGAAATGTAACCTCTAACACAAATACAAAATTTTTCTTAAATAGACATCCTAACTATGTATTCATCGACGGTTACTAGCCCACATTTGGGGTTTGTGGGAATCATTTGAATTTTCACACGTTCTTGTTGGATTTCACATTGGTAACCATTCCCACCAATGTTCCTTGATTCGTCAACCTCTATACTCGTTGACAGCTTCCTCTGATCTTTAAGTCCTTATCGACTGGCTTGTTTGGTCGATGTCCTTCTCCTGCTCGACGCATCTTGTTGTAATTCACTAATTTAGGCCTCTTTAGTTAACTAAACCCCACAAATTAAGGTTTATTCCTCCTTGTCGAAATTTCTTGTCAATAAATTTCCCTCCAAAATTCCATGTTCGACTGAGTCTTGTCGACGGGAGAATCTTGGCATTTTATCTTCCATATTTTTGGCTGCACAACTATTTGGGATAACATCATGCATAATCACGACTACTTTCTATGCAACAGTTCTCTATGTCACTTCAATCACTTCTCATGATTACTTATTATATTTAGGGTGTGGGTTTCTAACAAATCCCACTAACTTTTCCACTTCTTTTGGTGTGTTCGCGATACTCAAGTGACACTTGTATCACTTTTAACGGTTATGATTCCTCTTTAAATATACTTTCAAGAACCTTTAGTCTCTTTCTTCTACTTCAATTTTCCAACTTTCAATTCCTGAAGAAATCTTAAGGAAATCCCTTTCGTTTTTGCAATGACCATTCCAGCTAATATTCCTTTCACCGTTGGTCCAAACATGGAAACACAAAATATTAATCCCTTTTGTTGTTGCGAGAAGACTCTACGTGTTCAATGGGCCTTACCCAGCTAAAGAGACGCATCCAAAAACCGTCAATACATACTTTTCCTATTTTCTTCCTGTTATCCCTTATGCCTTCAACCATACAAAATCCATTGATGTTAGGTTTATGGTTTCTTACATCACAATATTTTCCTCCACGCCTAATCCGGGTAACCCGACATACCTTGCTTGGCTTGATAGAGTTCAAGAACAACGGAAACGTCAATGGGAAAGACTTGTCATTTTCGATGTAATTCAAATTTCACAGAGTACCCATACTCTTGATCCCAACTTTATTCTCGCCTCACTTTTCTTTTGGGAAGGTTTGACTAACATTTTGCAACTTCCTTGTGGGATGTTGACACCTACCTTGTTCTACGTTGCAACCATTACTGGACTCTCCCCATTGGGTATGACTGTTAACCCAGCCGTATCGACGAAACACATATTTAGCTTCAGTCAAAAGGATTTCAACAGCTATATTGTTGATCATCATCTTGTGGATATGAATGATGTTTCTGACACTGAACATATATCCTTTCTCACTCTCTGGCTTTCCCATTTCCTGTTTTGCACAGGATCTTTTACCAAATCCCAGGATTTCATACCTTTGGCGATTCAACTCCACGAGGGGAAAAATATCTCCCTGGGCAAGCTATTGCTGGCGACTCTTTACCAAACTTTAGACAATGTTTCTACGCAACTAAATGTATAATCATGCTTCAAAAAGTTTATGTTTTGATGATTACAAACATCATGATAAAGGAAAAAGGCATTATCAAAAAGAAGAATAAAAAGTATCTACTCAAAATTGACTTTTGACTTGCATGCTAAGTTACCCCTAAAGAAGACTTTGGTATTTTATCTTCATTATGGTACAAGACTCCAATTCAATATAGCATATTACTATAGTGCTCAAAATATGTCTAATATTATGCATACATTATTGTACCCCAAAATTTGCCCTCTCATTTCTCAAGGAATCACCCTGGATCCTCAAGCTCGCTTTTATCCAATTCCAAGTTTTGAATTATCAATTTTTCCAAGCAAACCATTCACAAGGGAAAAATGGTCATTTATACACTGAAAAGTCAAACTTTGACTTTTGGATCAAAATCAAGCTTCAAGAGTCATATTTCATCAAGACACGTTGAAATATGAGGTTTTGTTTCATCAAAATCCAAGAGGTCAAAATTCTAAATACTTAGAATTTTTCTAAATATTTAAGAAAAATGAAACTTCAGAACTTCTGAGCCAGCCTCCAGGCAGGTGCAGTCAGAAGTTACACACATGGTTCAGAACATAGCTTTCAGTCAGAATATGGCTCTTCAGCCTCTACGCAAGCTCAGTCAGAGTTTGCCAGGATAATTCAAAGAAGGTTAAGGAGCGTGCTGCAAGCTTTCTAGAAAGTCTGAAAGCTCCTTCAGAACATGCTGGAGCCAGAAGATAAGAGGATCAAAAGATGGGATGCCATGCTGAAGCAGAACTTCTGATCCAGAACTAAGCCTTGGTGTAGAGTTTCGAGTTGCAGGATTTCTGGTTGTGTTAAGTCTCATCATCATTTAATGCTAATTTAATGCTCATAACTACCTTCTGAGTCTGTATCCAAAGGATCTTCACCACGTGTACCTCTATTGTCTTGGGATAGCAAATTTGATACTAAGCCCATGCTTTGCTTTTTGCTTTTCCTTAATTCCTGCTGACAGCCACCATGTTTGCTTCAAAGACAAGGCAGCGCTTCAGCACATGAAGGCTATGTTCAACGCTATGGTCAAAACATGACCAAATCCCAAAAACCTTGCTTATACAACTTGCTGCAGACCTATGACCAACAGTTGGTTCAGCCTACGCCTCCATCCCATGATTACACCAAACTAGCATACGAAAACTGTGATGAAAAAGCAAAAGAACAGGATGCCAAAACAGGTTCAAATCCCACTTCTTTTTTTTCAAAGTCATAGCAAATTCATCTATAAATACTTGGCTCCATCACACTTTCAAGGGGCTGGCTTTTGAAGAGAGAGATTGGCCAAAAGAGAGAAAAGGAAGTTGTGAAACCTTCATAAAAAATCAGATTTCTCATACAGAAAAACAAACCTTTGTTCTTCCCTTTAAACAAAAGGACACAACCACCCTTTCGTCTCTCTTACTGACTCAGAACATCCAAAGGCAGACACTCAAAGCTCCAAGCACGCTCCAGGTAAGTCTTCCTGACTTTACTTTCTTTTGATTTTGAACATCATTAACATGTAAATATCATAGTATTAATGTTGTACATATCATTGTATGAATAGAAAAGTTATGGATCAGAACTTCTAGAATAATGCTAGGCTCAGACTTAGGATTGGAACTTCTGGATTTGTTGTGCTGTGATTATTCTGATTTGCTGAAATGAATAAATTGCTGATGTGCTGATTAAGAGTTAAAATGTAACACAGAACTTCTGTTTTTCACTCACCATTTTAACACACAGAACTTCTAAGATTACTTCACTGTTCTAACATAACACATAACTTCTGAGTTCTCCTCACATGTCAAATACACTGAACTTCTGATGTTTCCATCAGTTGTTTTGAAACACTCAGAGTTTATGACTTTCACATTCTGACAATGTACTAAACTGTTGACGTTTGCTCACTGTTTTAGTGTAATACAGAACTTATGACTTTTGGTTCACTGGTTGAACACCACCCAGAACCTCTGTGTTTTCCCCTCTAAATGTTTTTTGCAGGACTTCAGAGTGTATCAATCCAGAACCTTTGTTCCCTTTCCCTCTAACGTTTTTGCAGGACCTCAGAGTGTACGAATCCAGAACTTCTGATCCCACTGACGTTTCTTGCTGAGTCACGCGCCTGGCTTCAGAACTTCTGATCCTTGTTTCCTTGTTTACAGCAACACGTTGTTTCTACCTTGCATTTATTTTTCATTTTCATCTTTTTTTAATATTAACATAAAAACATAAAAATATTTTCTTTTATTTTATTTCCTTAAGACAAAAACATTTTTAAACAAGTCCATTTCTTTCTTATATTATGCATTTCAATATGGTTGTAATAGTAACTTAAGACTTATTTTTCCTTCCAATCCCCATTCATAAACTTGTACCCCCATCCCCTAAATATTGTAATAGCGTAGGACTTTACATTTCTGCAATTTATCGCTTTGAAATGTAAATACTAGTAATTAGGCGTGTACGGCAAGATAAAACCAATAAGTAGACCACCAAAAATCAAA